GTGCTATTTGGTCCCAATGGAATTTCCAATTGGGAACCTGCTAGCACTAAGGTGCTAACTGCTTAGCAAGATGCTTTTGACAAACTGTTCACAACCAAACTTGCTTGCTAACCTTCCGCCACAACAATCCCGCCCTCTTCATAAAAGACAAGTCACATTCACTTTATACACTCGTGTAAAGTCATGCACCACTCGGGAGAGTTCAGAACTGCAACGTTTGGAACAGCCTTTTCTCTACGACTTTAAAGTTCTTGGAAATTTTTACTTGATTTGATTAAACTTTTAAGCCTCTCGGTATGAAATATTTTGATTGAGATAAAAAAAATCCTCTTCCTCTTGTGTTGAAGCAGCAATTGTTTGCATCCAATAATTCAAATATACTTTCATATCTATTCATGCAGTTTATTGTAAACATTGTATTTTATAGTGTTATTTTGATCTTGTGTTCTTTGTGTAATGGAAAACTGTTCACTGATGTTTAAATAGGATATTAGTATAAATATTTCCTTGTGGTTTAGGTAAAAGGATTTTGGATCTGATAGAGTCACGTGTGACATAAACACAGTGACTCAGGTTCATGCCAAATGACCAAATCTACAATGTTATAGTGTTATTGTGAAGTTTATTTAATAGTGCATATACTGAGAACTGATTATGTCTTTGTGTTACAAACCCTGGTTGTGTAGGCTAATAGGTATTTTGTCCAAAAAAAAAAGAAGCTGCGCCCCCTGTTCAGAAGTACTTCCAGCGGCCCTGCATAGTGTTGTTGTACATTTTTATTGTTGTTGGCTTTAGCTTCGCAGCCGAATATTTCTCTGGTAAACACTAACATTATCTGACTGCTTTTTATTGACACCTTTTTTAGTAGCAAATTCCTGGTCTAATTAATACTTTCAAGTATTTAGCCTCTCAGCTGCTTCAATAGAATATTGTCATTTCTTTTTATTTTCAATTTCCAACATATTTAAGACCTATACTGGAGGTAAACTGTGTGGCTGTTATTTCTTAGGGTCATCGTGGTCCTCAAGGAAACTTGGTGAGTTTTTAAGATTCCTTTTTTATTCACTTTTTGTCAAAATAACATTAAAAAAGGTGGTTTAAATTTTTTTTTTATTGCTTTCTAGGGGCATCCAGGACCCAAAGGGGAAAAGGTGAGAGGTGTTAGTTTGTTGTTGTTTAACTATTAGATATATTCTTAAGATTATATTCTTTAAAAAACATTTCCTCTTTTTTATGACCAATGAATCCATTGGCCTGTAAACACTGAGCAGTTTTGGGATTATTCAGACTAAAGACAACAGACCCATAAATACTCCTGTCTGTTAACGTCTGCAGACTCCAGACAGGCAGGTGTGTGCAAAATCTTTTAAACCAAGTGTTCATTTTTTTATGTACGGAAGCCCAGAGCTGTCGTGTCCCTCTGATACTTCTTCACTATG